GAATTCTGAAATGTAGACTCAAACTATTTCAGAACACTTTCTCAAAAAATCCAGATGCAAATAATTCCCTTTGTTTCACTGTTCATTTTAGAAAACTCCTATTTTCAACTCCCAGTTTAAATTCTTCAATTTTAGCAAATTAATGCAAAATCTAGTCCCACTGTGTGGTTTGGGAAACCATGGCTAGAAGAAAGTATATTTAAAAGGGGCAGGCTAGGATCAAAAGCTTTTTATCTTTACTGTTATCTCATTTTAATCCTCTATGGCAAAAAAAAACCGACATCCTGGCTGTGTAGTGGCCTGTGTAAAATGAAATAATGAAATCAGTACAGCTCCAGCTAGCACCACGATATTTGACATTTCAAACACCACCACGTTTCAGATAAACTGGCAAGTTCTTCCACAGAGAGAAAGGACTTTTAGCAGACATACAGAAGGAATGAAATCTCACCTCAAAGGACAACCATTCCCTTTCAGGCACAAGTGAGAGTAAAAGCCTAACATGGGGATTCTGCGCTACAGCACTTGGAGGTGCATCTCTTCTGTGGGTATTGTGCAGATGTCCCTTTCTAAGATCAGCCCATTGAGGGTATTTTATAAACAATATGTTTGGCATTAATACATTTACACTTCACTTTAAAGAGTTGCAAATGAACACGTTCTAGGCGTCATTCAGGAAGTTCCTTCCTTTTATACTTCCTAAATTTTTTTCTAAGAGATTGAAAAAAAAAAAAAAAACCAAATGTGGAGCAAAGTAACCTACAATAGTCTTTAAACACCAGCTGGAGGAAAGACTCCAAGGAACAAGTAATATCACCTATAGTTGTCTGAGGAGTTGAAAGAAAATAATGTTCATTCACCTGTATCTTCTCTCTCAGAAGATTATGAAATATACTGTCTGGACCTGTCAGGTCCCATGCTCCGCACATCACTGTTCCACTGCCTTCTAAAGCCAGTCCTGCCTCGCACTTGCCTTGCTGCGGCACCCAGATCCCAGACATCACACAGCAGTGCTATTTCTGTTTTCCACGTACCAGGTGAAGTTGGTCAGCTTGATTTGCAATCTTGTGAGGACCAAGAGAAAAGAGGCTCCGGTGATGGACAGCAGCCAGGGAAAGTATCGTTTTCAAGAAGGGCACTACACTCACCAGAGTCCTGCCAGAAAGACCACTGCCCTTTCTGGGCATCCCACAACAGAGTAACATCAGAATTGCTCCCTCCCTGTGATGGGACAGCAACCTCAGAAACACACAGCAAATCATGACATCGCATTTGTTGGAAAAGGAAATTGAGACGCCCTGAGAGAACTGGTTTGGCCGTGTTGCTGGCATAGTGTGCTGGTTCAGCTTGGCACCACCGCAACTGCAGGCCAGGGTCACTTACGGTGTCACCAATGTCTTTCAAAACCACAGTCTCTAATGAAACCACAGCATCAGGCAGTCACGCAAGATGCTGGCCTGCCTCATGCGTGGTACGCTGCTATCCATCGCTGTCTTTGCTGCTGCAACCCAGAGCTAGTGGAGGTCAGTCAAGTCCATCGGTTCAGTCAGTTACTAAAAGAAAACCTGAGCTGTGCTAGGAGGCAGCAGCATCTTAGCAGATGGCGATGCAAGAAGCCACTTGAACTTCTATACCTTTTCCTCTGTCATCTGACAGTTACATTGCCAGAAGGAAGTGCAACTACTGAGACACACCATGCTCCATCAACCATGAAATGGGACAGAAACATCACTGAGAAAAAATGAGGAGAGGATAAAATACCTTCTGAACGGGGGAATGGGACCACCATTTTCATGGTATCTTATTACTGTTTGCACAAGCAAATAGAGACCGAGAGAAGAGAATTAAAAGCAGGACTGGCAGATTTCCCCAAGAGCACATAATAAACCAGCACTACAAGCATCAGAAAAAGAGGTACCCAGAGAAGACAGAACAGAAACAAAAATTTTGCTGACACTGAAAACACTGCAGTTAAGGACAGCTACAGTACATGCACCTTATCTATATGTACCTTATACAAATGGCACATTGTTTCTGCCAAAACAATATTTTACCCATCTCTGCCTGGGAAACACCAACTACAGTGTAATGGAAACTAAAGAAAGGATGAAAACAAACATCTTTTCTAATGCATAGTGCATCATGAAAGCCAGATCCTGTTAAGCCTTGACTGTTGAAGTTATCCTTACTGATGCAAAAACTCTCAATTAATTCATCAGGGGAAAATGCTGCATTAGCCTAAAACTCTGAACACCAGCTGAACGCGAATGCCCTCTTCACATGAGGTCAATGTCATTCAACAGGCTGGATGCTTCAGGACAGTCCATTAACTTTCTGAAGAAGATGTGAAGCTTTAAAACACGGAGACTCTTTAGCAAGAAACTGAAGCATGAGGGCACAGCAGATGAGCTAAATTGGTGTTTACTGAAATAAAGCAGTCTCCTTCCTCCCCTGCCCGGGAAAGACAAAACCCAAACCCACAACATAAATCGTAAAATTTGCTCAAAAAGCCTTTCTTCAAGGGCAAACAATGTGTTGTATATAGGCCACCACTCGACTGCTTCAGAGGAAAAAACAACCATATGGGCAGCAGTGGCTCTATTTCAATGTAAGGAATGGATTTCACTTTGTGCTGGAAATGTTTGCACAGTGTCCTCAAAAAAACAGAACGTGGGAAACAAGAAAACATGCTGCAATGAGCCATGTGAGACTGTGCACAATCAAATTACAGGAGGTAGCATTTTCCAGTGGTTCGAATCACAAGACATTGCTTCTATTCTGGGATGTACCTGGCTTACCGTTTGACCTTGGGTAATAAATGACATGCACTCTCCCTGGGCATCCCCTTCTTCATTTGTAAAAAGATGCTGGGTCTGGTCTGGTAATGTAGTAATTAAAATAATTCTGATAAATGCTCTCATCCTAATACAAAGGACCCAAATTTTGCTCAAGCGTGAGTACACATAAACTAGAAATCATCATTTTCCTCATTAAGGAGCAAAATATTTTAATTAAAAGTTTTAATTTTTGTTAAAATTTAAAAATAAAGTTGGTTTTATTAATACTTAACAGTTTAGGTTATTTTATTTCTTGCACTATACGTCTAAAATTACGGTGTGGTGACAGAATAAATAATACTGTGGAAGGACGTTAGCTTACCAATTAAAACATCAGCAAGGGGACACGGAGTATGTTTTATTGGCAAAATACACCCATCTCTGACTGTACTTAACCCACCTGCTAAATGAATTCCACAGTAAGTGCACACCAGTGCTCATCTGTGGGGATGTTTAACTCTTTACAGCTGCGTAAAGTTTAATTTTTCAGCAAGCAAGCAGAGAGCAGAGCTTTCCCCTTCCTCACACTGCCTGTCAGAGGTGGTTGTGCCTACTCTCCAAACTGTTCAGCAATTGCTCTCAAGGATGTAAAACAAACAGATGAAGGAATTAACGAAGCAGTAGAGTCCAGGGTGCCACCTCATTCAGCTGGTACAACACAACACCATCATAAGCACTGACAGGGGTACTAGACACACTCCCCCAGTGCAAACTGAACTAACAGCTTATTCCTCTTCAAGGAACCATCTCCTCAGGCTGGCACCGCTGCATGTAGGATTGAGACGCCTCTATAAAACTTTCCTCTCACAGAAAATGCCGTCACAATTAAAACTTTGGTTATGTTATGGTTAAAAATAACCATTTTTATGGTTATGCTTGTCTGACGATCCCACACAAAGAAACAGCACATACGGTATGCTACTTTAAAAGCTTAGTGCTGTTAGAATTTTTGTTCAAGGCAATCAAAACATTCAACTGACTTGACATTCTTCTTGCCTTCTCTGGATGCCCTGGAGACTCCCGAGTCCTCCATTAAATGAACTTCCCTGGACTCTGATTGCAGTGACTGGTATTGGATGGGGCAGATCCTCTTGTTTTTACATTTATTTACTTATAATAGTTGCTTCCTCTCCCAGGAGGAAAGAAAGCATATGAACTTGCAAATCAGTGATTAACAGAGGAAACACAGATTGGAGCTGACAAGAGGACTGGAACCAAAGCCTAACAAATGCCTGCTCAGATACCAGACTGACCACTTAGTAGCAACCACCACAGCAAACAAAATCAGTTGCGTTATTATGCTGTAGTGAGCGGAAGCTCTGAATCGTTAGCACCGACGATGACAATATCCTAGGGTGAAGTCCCAACTACTGAAACCAACAGCACGTTGAACCACAATCACACTTCATGCTTCCAGAGAAAACAAAACAAAACAAAAAAACAAAAAAAAAACCAAAAAACCCCCACACAAACACTAAACCAAACAGCTCTCATTCATGAAAAGAAACAAAATACAGGGCCAGATTTCCAAAAGACTCCTAGCTGCTGTACGCTGGGGTTAGTAAAACCAAGCGCCTCTGAAAATCTGGCTCCTTGCTTGCAAATTATAGCACAGCACCACTTCTTATTACAGGGTTCCTTACTCTGTTTAACCCAACACTACTCCATTTCTTAGCCAGCTTATTTTAAGGAAACATTCTTGAAAAGCCCGGGGTGGCTCCTGCCAAACGATTCTCCACCCGGCAACCCAGAGCCGATGCGCCGGGCCCCCGCCGCGGGAGCGCACCCCGCACGCCCCGGGTCCCCGCTCCCCCCCGCCAAAGACGCACCGTTTATTTTAGGGGGGGGACCGCTGCGGAGAAACAGCGACTAGAGAAAGTCGTGTGTGCTATGTGTGTGTGTCCCCTCCTCCCCCCGGGGCTTTTCCTGAAGCGTGGCCCCAAAGCGCAAGCTGGGAAAGGCGTTTGTTTTGTTTTGTTTTGTTGTTTTTTTTCCCCCCGTTTATTTTTTACTTTTGGTGGCAGCCCCGGTGCATACCCCTCCACCGCGGAACAGCGGCGAGGGCACAGCCCCGCCTCGGCGGCGGGACGCCGAGGGTGCCACAGCCCAGCTCCCCGGGGGGACCCTCTCCCCGCCCCGGGGCCGCCCCGCCGCCCCCCTTACCTCCATGCCCAGCCGCTGCTTCAGCACCAGCGCGGCGCACAGGTAGCCGGCGCGGCCGACGAAGAGCTCGTCGGAGCCGCACTCGAGGAAGGAGAGCGGGGCGCAGACCTCGCTCAGCTCCCGGAACTTGCCCAGCGGCCGGGCGAAGTCCGGCAGCCCCAGGGCGCGGTAGACCAGCGCCGCCACCGCGTACACCCCGGCGCCGCCCAGCAGGAAAGCGGCGCGGGTGTCGGCGTCGGCCTCGCCGCCGCCCTCCTGGTAGCGCAGGCAGGCGTCCACGACGCGGCGGGCCGCCCGCAGGTAGGCCTCCCGCGACGGCGCGAAGAGCGGGCACTGCGCGACGTGGTAGAGCATGTAGGCCACGCCGGCCGCGCCGCCGTACAGCCCGCCGGGGCAGCCGCCGGGGCCGCCCAGGGGCGGCAGCTCCCGTAGGATCCGCTCGATGGTGGCCGTCACCAGCGGCACCGCCGCCGCCTCCCTGTCCGGCGCCGCCGCCGCCGCCGGGCTGCCCGGGTAGTCATCGAAGCGGTTGGCGAAGCAGCGCTGGCTCTCCATAGCCCCCCCCCCCCTCCCGCCGGCGCGGCGAGCTGCGCAGCGGGAGGGAGCTACCGGGGGAGGGGGCGGAGGGAGCGCGGAGGAGGCGGGAGGGGGGGGGAGGGGGCGCCCCCACAGCCGCCCGCCGGCTGCACTGGGGATGGGGGGGGGGCGGGGAAGGTTGGCGGTGGCGGAACCCCCTGAGGGGCGGCGGGCGAGGCGGCCGCTGCCGAACGGCCGGCAGCGGGTCGGGGGACGGGAGCGGCCGGTCGCTTCGCCCCGGCGGTGCCGGGGACGGGTCTGTCACAGGGCGGCCGCCGCCTTCCCCACCCCGGGGCGGGGCGGACGCCGCCCCACCGGCGCTTGGGCAGCGCTTGAGCGTCCGCTGAGCTGTGCGAGGGCTGGGTCTGACTGACCCGGGTTTCCCTCAGAGCTGAGCCGAGGCCATGGCGGGGACACACACACACACACACACACACAGACACGCCGGCTCGGTGCTGGTGTCCGGCTCGTCCTGCCAGGGAGCCCCGTCCTCCCCACCTCGAAGGCGCTGCTGCTCCTTTGTCCGACCCGTCTGCAGATCCCCGAGGGAAAGGGGGTTTGCGGGGTTTGTCACCCTCGCCCGCCCCGCTGGCTCAGGGGCGAGCGCCGGCTCTGCGGGAGATGTCCAGGGGCGGGCAGGGCGGCCAGAGGGCTGCTGAGCTGTTCCTGGCTGTGGGACAGCCCCTCGGGGGCTGCTGCCGCCAAAGCTGGAGGATGGAGCCAAATCCAAACGAGGGCAGCCCCAGGCCAGTTGACATGGAAAGCTAAGCCAGTCCCCGGCAGACCAGCAATGGCACAAGGCCATTTTTGGCCCCTGTCCGTCATGCATGCGCCAAGCAGAGTTTATGAGGAACAGAAAATTTAGGCCACTGAATAGATTCCTAGTCAAAGGGGAAGGGGGAAAAAAAAAAAAAAAAAAAAAAAAAGGAAAATCCTTGAAGCGTATACTAAGAGCAACTCTTACGTGATACAAATACAGTTGTCACATCTTCCCCTGACGATGTGAACTTATGCAGCATAAGTGAATTTATCATCAGTCATCCATGATTTAAGGTCACCTGGTGGTCTCTGGTACTTTCTCTGGAGATACAGCCTCTGTAATTGAGGGCCTCCCCAAGGAAGGTGGAAGGAGCTGCCTGCTGGAGGCTCCAGCCTGTAGCTGGCAGCTGGAACAGCAGTAACAAGAGCCAAGGCACTGTCCTTTGGACGTTGAAAGACATTTCTAGAGTTGTGTCTGGCTTCTCTGCTTCGTGCTGGCTGCTTGTTTCAGCACTCTCCCTGTCTCTCCCTCAAAGCACCATCAACTCTGTGCAGTGCCTCACTTGCACTTTCACACCCACTTTTCATTTCAACTCACCTGTCCTTTTTCTTTACTTCCTTCTTTTGGGTTTCTGATCTCAGAGATGTTTGCTTCCAACCTCTGATTTTGGTTTCCACACTTTCCTTCAGTGCATTTTTGCCATGTTTATATATGTTCCAGATACTACCCACTAGTCTATGTTTGTACAGTGTCCCTTAAAGCCCCATTTACTGGCTTTTTCACAGCTGTACCATATGAGGTTTCTACCACACAGATCTTGGCAATCTAGAGCACTGAAAATGTGAAAATACCCTACCCATAGATGGGACATCCCATTCATACATTATTTTCTGTCATAACTGGCTTCTGTTGGCCCATTGGTAGGTTTCAGGGTGTAGCTAAGGATTTTCCAGCATAACTTCTGTTGGGTGTAGAGAAATGTAGTCCCTAAATGCTCTTTTAAGTGAAAATTTGGTAGTTTTGTTTTTCATTGTGACACCATTCCACATTTTGGGGATGCCTGCTTCGTCTTTTCAAAATTATTAATTTTTTTTCACCAATTAAAAGGGCTGATATTTTCCTGCAGTCTTCTGGGTGGGAGGTGTCTTGGACACGGTCTTTCTGTTGATGTGAAGGAATCCTCTCACTGGAGGTGCTTGTCTTCCTGCACTGAAAGTAACTGAGAGAGTAACCTTGGCGCAGGCACCTCTTTTGAGATCCTCAGCAAGGGCAAATGGATCTCAGCCAATTTCAGCAGCAAAGGATTTAAGAAAAATACAGACATTATAAGAAAATCAGTTGGGTTAGCAGCACTTCTATATGAGGATTAAATCAGGCTGCTACAAGAACTTTTCATAAAGGAGTCAGTAATGACATGCCAAAAAGGAACACTTTCCAAGCTCTTGGGTTTTTTTTGACAAAGTAAAGAGCGCTTAGCCACTGTAGGGTTAGCAGATGTCATACAGCAATCAAGCAAAAAATGAGGATGTCAGTTTCTGCTGTACTTCTTTTGTGTAAGAGTATTAAACCACCAAAGCCAAAAGGAGAGCTACATTAAAATTACACATGTGCTTCTTATAGCTGTAAAAAAAAAAAAAAAAAGTCTTAAACTGCTCATATTTTCATGTACAAAAGTTTCATGCTTTTAGACAGGATGTGTTCTGTATCTTTGTCACTCAGCCCAGCACAGATGCAGTCCCAATCCAAATGGAATAGAAGTGGAGGTGATTCTTAGATGTAGATCATGTGTCTCTCATCAGATCATCCTTTGAGGTTTGCTCTCCCCTTGAGTCCCAAAGTGTGGGCCCCCAGTGTATGGCTTCATGTTGAGAAGAATGTGAATTCCCCCCTCTTACCCCTGTGCACTGCTTCAGCTCCCTGGTTTCTGCTCCCTGGGCACACCATGGCTCCTCTTTGGCTCTGTAAACCTGATGTAGCAAGCTGAGGAGTGGGAAACAAATTACAGGTTATACAAGGAAAGGATATGATACTGGTGTGGTAGGTGGAGGAGGGAGCTGAAGCCTCAGAGCTGTTTCTTCTGTTCTAGCAAATCCATCATTATAGGGCATATATTCTGGAGATAAGCTTGTTGCATATTGATAAAATGTAGAATCATGGAATAATTCAGGTTGGGAGGGACCTTAGGAGTTCATCTAGTCCAGCCCATACTCAAAGTAGGGCTAACTTATTACTGATGTGCTTGTTCATGTATGCTTGTTCACTTCTACTTGTTTATTTGCGCATCCTTTCAGGGAATTCATGCCTTCTGATATTTCCAACAGAGCACAGTAGTCTGTCCTCAGTTGTAGTGCAGGGGCTCGAGGCTTATCCTAACAAATGTCTTCTGGGTTAGTCTATCATTTGTCTTGCGTACTTTTTACTGATGTAACAATTTAGTGTGCCTTCAGGATTTTTGGATACCCACGTGGTTGCTAGTTTTGTTCTTACCTGTTGTGGTTTGAGCTCAGAGGGCAACTGAGCCCATGCAGCCGCTCACTCTCCCCTTCCCTCCCACCACTGGAAAGGGGAAAATAAGCAAACGCTCAGGATTTGAGGTAAGGACAAGGAGGGATTACTCACCCATTATAGTCACAGGCAAAAGATAGACTTGTTAATGGAAGAAGAAAATAACGTAAATTTAATACAGACACTAACAACAACACTTAACAGACAGAGTAGGATGGTGAGAAGCATTATCACATCTTGAAAACCCCTTCTCCCTCCCTTCGTCCTGGGCTTAGTTCTGCTCCCAATATTTTTACCTCCTCCCCGCAGCAGTGCAGGGGGCAGGGAATGGGGGGTGCAGTCAGTGTTCCTGCTTCTTTCATCTTTGGAGGGGGGTGAAACATCTGGAACTTCTTCCCTTTGCTCCAGCATGGTTCCCCTCTCACAGGAGACAGACCTCCACAAACTTTCTCCAACCTGAGTCCCTCCCACAGGCTGCAGCCCTTCCTGAGCTGCTCCGGTGTGGGACACCCCCGCACGCTGAAATACCCCAGCACTGAAATACAGCAGCAGGGGCTGCTTCTTCCCACAGGGTCCTGGCATCCTTTGGGTGAAGCTACCTTGAGTGGCTGTGCAAGCCCCCCCCTTGAGACTGTGTATCAGCTTCTGCTCCACCATAGACCTCCATGGGTGGCAGGAGGTGGCCGCCCTGCCGTCTCACCACAGGGTACAGGGGGTCTCTGCTCTGGCACACATCCCCCCTCCTTTCTTCTTTTCTTCCACCGACCTTGGTGTTCACATAGATGTCGCAACTCCTCCTCACAACTCCAACTCCTCCTCCAAGGTCCCTTCTTAAATATGTTATCACAGAGGCGCAGCTGGTTGACTCGGCCTTGGTGCAGAGGTGGGTCTGACTTGGAGCCAGGGAAGCTTCAAGAAGCTTCTAACAGGGGGCCACTGCTGTAGCCCTCTCCCCTGCTACCAAAAACCCCACCAGTCACTCAAACCCAGGACGTTACTCAGGATTCCACATCTCTCCTGAGCTGAAGGTGAAACACTGAACTCCCATACACAGTCTGAGCTTCACTGACAGAAGTGTATTTAGTGGTGGGAACACATGAGCAGGGTTGTGCCAGAGGTTCTTCAGGCTGGCTTGAGCACACTGGCTGTTCAATTCAAAATTAGTTCCCAGCCTACCTATTAAAATCAGTCGTCAGTACCCCTCTTACTGCCCAGTGCTGCTCTTCCCTCCCCAGAGGGCTTTGCCACTGCAGGTCAGCTTTGCAGCTAGCTCCTCTCACTGCCTGTTGGGGCTTTGTCCTGGGAATCCACACTGCTAAGCGAGTGGCTCTGGGGTTTACAGGGTCATCTCTATCCCTGCCCTGTCATCGGTTCGTGTTTGGTGGACAGCTGGCCCTTGGGCATTTGGCAGAAGGGAATGAATTAGGCAGAGCTGTTTCATGTCCTCATTAGAAAAAAGTACTTGCATTCCCCATATGCTCTTCTTCTATCTTTTCTGCCATGGGTTCTTGAAGAGGAAATTATCACTGTGCGCTGCAGAGACCATGCTAGTAGCCAAAATACAGAAGAGTGTGACCGAGAGTCATACAGCAAAGGCAGCCTCAGGGATTTCGTGGCGTTGTCATTCAGTAGTGGCATCACCCCAGCAGTCTCTGGTTGCTCAGTATATTCTGGTTTCTTACCATAAGTATTCTTTTCCTTTCTCAGGCTAAGCTATCCTGTCCTGTATGAACTTCACTTACAAAAAGCTATACAAAAACTTTTGTGTTTTTTGTTCCATGATGATCAATTGACAAAGTGATATGAGGACCTCTTTTGAAAATGAAGTGCTTCTTGGCATTGCACAATGGAATCTTTTTTCTTAAGTCACCCTTAGTTGATAATACAAACAAAATTTCTGTGTGACAAAAGTGATACAAGTTTTAGTGCATGTATTGCCATTTAATCACAAGGAAAATTACACATCAGAAGATAAAGCATGTTATTTCACAAAGATTATATTA